CCCGAGCGTAAATCTGAAGGTCATCAGCATAAAGATGATACGCACACTGAAGGTTGTGAGTGATGAAGTTAATAAATATAGTGAATAATAATGGGGAAAGAATACCGCCTTGTGGAACACCAGCGGCAAGCTCACACCAATTCGACAGCGTCTCCTCATTGCGCACAGCCTGCTGGCGCTCACGAAGATAAGACTGAAACCAATCCAGTGCCCCAGGCGACACCATAAGATAGGACAGGATGGATTCAAGGATGTCGTGACTGACAGCATTAAAGGCATTTGAGAAGTCTATTAAGACCATAGCAGTGACTTTAGACTCACTGATCCCCTCTCTAATGTCACCAGTCACTTTGAGAAGTGCTGTGGCGGTGCTGTGCCCAGGTCTAAACCCAGATTGCAGTGGACTTATAAAGTTGTGACGGGCTATAAAACTTGATAACTGCTTATGGGCACAAGCTTCCAGCACTTTGGAAAGGAATGGAAGGATCGAGATTGGACGGAAGTGTGTAGGGAGAGTAGGATTTGTGATTTTAGGAAGTGGACGGACGTAAGCTTTACGCCACAGGGAAGGTAACTTTCCTGAAAACAAGGAAAAGTTAATAATATGGGTTATCGATGGGAGGATATATTCAAGGATCGGGATGACCATACTACGACCTATATCGTCATAGCCAACGGCCCTGGATTTGATTGATAGGATAATCTTTTTGATATCATCCAGGGCTACCGGAGAAAAGTTAAAAGAGTCTGTACTCTGCCGCGGAAGGCCAGTGATGAACTCCACCGTCTGACGAATGGCTGAACGATCCAAACTAGGGGTGGTGGTGAAATGGCGATTGATATCGTCCAAACCAATCGTATTAGGTAGGTCCTCATGACCTTGTTTGCCGATACCCAGCGTTCCAAGGAACTTCCAGATGGCAGCCGCGGAGGTGGAAGTGATATTTTCTAGAATGTGTCGGCGTTTAGCATTACGTATCATCTGATTACACCGATTCCTAGCTGACTTGTAGAGTACCCAATTCTCATCCGACCGATCCCGTCTATATTTCCTGAAGGCTCGATTTCTTCGCCTCATGGCCATACGTACACCTTTCGACATCCATGGAGCTGGTGGACGCTTAACAGTAATTGATTTAATCGGCGCGTGAATGTCGTATAGACTTTTTATCAAACGGTTGAAAACGGTCACCTTATCATCGACAGAGGAGGCATTGGATACCTGTGATTCCCATATGTTCACATATGTTGTTTAAAACGATTTTTGATACACATCACTATAGTATAAGGAGTACAACATATTTTTACCCGACTACGGAGGAGAGTTATGATTTTTGCTTAGTCTATTGCTAGAAAGTTGTAAATATAATTATGATTCTCGCAAAAAATCTAATGGGAAGTTCATCCTGAACACATTGTTATTGCTCAAATCTCTATGTCAACACTTTAACTACTGAAAATTGTAAAAGACAAACAAAAACTTCAAGTGACTTTTAACCCATTCATTGGGTTAAGAGTAATCAAGTCACTTTTTTACTTTATGAGTTCATAGAAAAACAAACAAACAGATTATTTGTAGGAATTATGAAAATAAAGAAGGCCAATAATCTTTTATTCAATGGAGATCTAATCATCTTGGCTCTTTACTTCTTTCCCAGTCTAAACAATCATATTTTACGATACTTGAACTCAAGTCACAACACTTATTGTTTGTTAGCATTAAGAATGCCATAATCATCAGTCGAACTGCAAGATAAAGGTTTATTTGTATTGGGATATGCTGGAGAACCGAGTAGACATATCACCTTGCAATCGGCGTCACCTATAGACACCTGAAACACCAGAGGCGTTATAAGGACGTGATATCACTCCGGTCGAGCCGGCCCATTCATGCCGAAGCATGGCTCTCCCGCACTTAAAGGTGTATTCACAGTTGTGTTAAATTCAAACAAATATTGCGTTCTTACCGCGAATGTACCTAATATAGTATCGTTGATAATCATTTTTTCAGAGTTCACTGGACAGTGAAACTAGTCCAGAAGACGAAGCAAGTCGAGCGAGCAACTCTGGCGCCGGCGCGAGTAGCAGTGGCAACTGTAGTGGAGTGGGAGGCAATGGCGGCGCGGGGAGGGGTGATGGACGCATATGGCCAGAGGGACCGTCGCGACCTGATGCACCGCGAAATGAAGGAGTGCCTCGCAATGATGGCCCGTCTCGAAATGATGGACCGCCTCGCAACGATGGCCCGCCACGAAATGATGGTCCGCATCGGAATGATGGTCCACACCGGAATGATGGACCACTTCGAATTGATGGCCCACCTCGGAATGATGGACCACCTCGAAATGATATGCCTGTGCGGAATGATATTGCTCCAAGGAATGACGGACCATCTCGTAATGAAGGACCATCTCACGCTGATCCTGGTCGTGCTGAAGGACCGTCAGCTGGCGCAGGTCGCGCTGTTGAGCCACCAGCTCGTGATGACACTGCCGGACTAGGTCCGCCTCCTCACCCGCCTTGCCTTGCCCGCTCGTTACAAGCTCTTTCTACGCCCAGACCACCGGATAATCTAGCGCCGGGACTGGTGGAGCAGTTGCCTTCTGAAGGTAGTGTTTTTAAAAGTCTTCATTGTAATTAACTGTAGTATCAGAAAATCGGTCTTAGAAAGTACTTTAAAACATTGGTCAATTCACAGAGGTGGGGTAACAAAAAAGTCCTTAACTGTTTTTTACATTGCAGTGCTGCTATGCATCTTCAGTTACCTGGACGACCTGTCCCTGTGTGCGTGCGCGTGCGTGTGCGGGCGCTGGTGGCGCCTGGTGCGCGCGCGCGTGTCGCCGCCGCGCTGGGCCTCCTTCACTCACAAGCGGTTCCCGCTCTACCGCCCGCTACTCGCCAACATCGACTGGCATAAGGTACGTCTCACTAAACTACTCAACTTCATATTTGATGTAATTGTTTTGAAGTCATGCGAGTATAAACTTTTCTGACTTGTCTTAATTGGCTTATCAATAAAATTATAACTACATCAGATACTCTTCTTTAATTATCATAAATGCATTCCTAATGTTAAACCTTTTCGATTCGTTCCAGAAATACCAGTGCCTGGTGGAGTCGTGTTTCTGCCGCAACTGCCTTGTACAGATGTGTGTGCAGGCACAGCCCGCCGGGGAAGAGAACGCCTGGCGCCGGAACCGACTGAGGATTGAACTCAAGGTAAATGCAAGACATTTTACCTGATTGCATTATAAATACTGTTCTATGCTATAGAAGTACCATTAACCGTATTACTGACAATACCACGTCATACATTTGTTGTTTTCTGAGGGTTTAAGAACTTTACCATCACATGACATCAATCCTGTTTCCAACCAACATTGTAGAACATACTTTTTTAAAAAGAGTAACGAATGAAGTTTCTTGCTCGTTCTTCTCCATTCGAATCTACTTTTTGGAACGAACACTTGGCTAATAGCTTCACCTAGCTTCACTGACGGACTGACTGACAGACTATTATTTATTTTGTATTAGTTGACGTTTCAAAAGTACCAAATTATGGTTTAATTGAAATAAATGCTTTGACTTTGACTTTGAATTTGACTTTAAATTGCATCCAGAGTACAAACTCTAAAAATACTCAATAAGCCTACCCAGGGCCAAATACAATTTCAGGCTGTTTTACATAGATACATCTGCCCTCGTTAAAATGATCAAGCTGTCTGCCATAGATATTTTTTAATATAAAATGAATCATCTGTTATCCAGATGTTGCGCAACGACCCCCCGGAAGGTATAGCGGCGACCCCTCTGGACCCCAAGTGTTGTCACTGGCAGGCCAGCGTCACCGGACCCATTGGGTCCCCATACGAGGGAGGGGTCTTCTATCTCTACATACAAGTGCCATACGCGTGAGTAATATTTTATTGTTATGTGAAGTTCATTTATTTAATTATTAAAGATATTTACTATCAACACAACAGATTTGCATGTGTTGCAACGTTTTTTATTATCAACAGAAAGTAGGTAACTTGACAAAGGACAATTTGTTTTAAGTTTACTGGCTGACTGAGATAAGAGCACATTTAAGGTAAAAACGTATTTAAATGATTTTATTTTACCTATAAAAATAAAGTGGGGCATGTGTAAAACTTAACAATGTAGCCTTAGACATTCTTGCAATGCAATATCTACTGTAATGTTTATCGTATTGTTTATTATATTACCAGGTACCCAATGAGTCCGCCAGTGGTACGGTTCCTGACCCGCATATTACACCCGAATATCTCCCGGCACGGCGACGTGGGCATTGACTCCGTCCACCACAACTGGTCGCTCGCACTCACCATCAGCAAGGTGCTCATCTCCATACAGAGTCTGCTCACTGACCCTTATACTGCGGTAAGTCATACAACCATATCATCAATATCATGACCATTACGAAATGTCCCCCTGAAAAGATTTGCCATAATCCCCTCGCTTATTGGCGGTACTTGCCTTCTCTTAATTGTCGCAGTTAGGTCATCTCATTGGGATACTGTTTACACTAATTTAATAGCCAAGTTACATGTCCATCCGCTGAGTAATTGCTTGGCAGCTACTGCTACGCAATCACTCGGAAATCGGTTCTTAGTCTCGGATAGGAGAGACTGATCAAAATATTTTTGTGTGTCCGATTTTCAAAATTCTCAAAAGTCGCTGAAGTGGCTGATAAATTCGGCCAACACCTTCGAAGAATAAATCCTAATTTAATGTAATTTAATGTTAAAAATCTAATTTGAACATATCCTCCCCAGGTTTGCATGGAACCAGAACTAGGAGAAATGTACGTACGTGACAGACCTCGCTTCGAAGCTCTTGCAAGAAACTGGACGTGGAGATACGCCATGCACGACATTCTTTCATACTGAACCATCGTGACAAATGTATTCAACTATTCAAATATGTACTATGTGATAAATGGAATTAGGTTGATAGTTGTCTAATAGTACACTGTTGCTTAGCTTCCTTTTATATGGTATGCTAATTTGTTGATCAACAGAAGCATTCAACCATCCTAATATGTACTATGTGATTAATCGAATTAGGTTGATAGTCGTCTATCAGTACACTGTTGCTTAAGTTCTTTTATTGTGGTAAGCTAATGTGTTGATCGGCTTTTTTAGTAAACAACTCATGGCAAAGTGAACTATGTGGACAAAGTAACAAAGTTTATAATCGTGTTAGATTACCGCATTGCATCTTTTTGAAAGCAGAGAATTTGAAGATCAGACTAAATATGTAATTACCGTGGCATATCTTTTTTGAAAAATGCTTATGTGCCAGACTTAGCAACCAGATGTGTTAGTGCTCTGCAAGACTCCTTGACCAATAGATTTATTTGTTAATGTTAACTTTTGGCAGCTACAAATGGTTGAATTGAAGTTGCCTAACTCGTCATTAGCTGCTCCATTCAGTTGTGCACAAAGTCTTGCTTATTTTCAGAAGGCATTACATTTTTTTCTCTTTAATCGAATGTCTATTTGAATTACTAAACTACTTATCTATCATATAGCCACAATGATTACCTAATCGTACGTACCTACGTACATATTTAGCTTAAAACCAAGAAGATTGTAAGACGAATTTAGAAACATCTTGTGGCGTATTGAAGACTTATCTGCGTATTCCTTGTATACTGGCAAATTGTATTTATTGCCTTCCCAAGGTTTTCTTATTTTATACCATACGATATACCTTAGATTATATGCTTTAGAAATAACCATTCCTCCTTCACATATAACAGTATAGCCATCGTTATCTATAATCACACTTTTTATACTTTTATGCTCTGAATACAATATTTTGTAAACTAAACAACACGAATTATAAAAGACAAATGTAAGCGCACTTCAAACTTTATTGTAGAAGTTTATTCTCAAATAAAAATAACGTATAACGCTATTTGTGTCTACAATAAAGGTTTTTTAGTAGTTTTTGTGTTTTTCTGTGCGTTTAGCATGTTCCAACGCATTCGGAGTTTTTCGCAGTTGCATAGGTTTGGGAGACAGGATTCGCTGCCAGGGGCTCGGCAGTAGCCGGGGTAAGGAGCTTCACCTCTAGGGAGCCACCTCCGTGTAGGAACAAACATCAAAGGATCCTTTTCATGAGGGTTGTCTAGCAATTCTCGCAAGTGGCCCAGCTTTACCGTGTACCGTTTAGTGTGAGTTTTAAGACACCCCGCAGTGAAATAGTGAATGTATATCGCGAGCGCGTATACTCCCTGTAACGAATATTTTATTATGTTCCCCGAAACAAAACGGATGTTTTTTTCTCGATCGTTGGCTTACTTTATGAAGGCCGGCTTTCAAACAAACTAATTGGTCAATAAATACAAGAAAACTATACCATCGCACTTTTTTACCAAAATGGAATGTTATTAAGGTGGATGTTAAAAGTATCCAAGTTCGCTATCCCAATGGTTGTCCTGGAAATCGATTCCGGAAACCCTCGCTCGGCAGGCGACTGCAGAATCGTAAATAAAACTGTTAGGCCTCTTCTCCACGTCATGGTTGTTTAACTCTACTGTAATATTTGGTAACTACATAGTGAAATGATAACGTTAGTCGATTGAAATTATATGAAATAGAGATGGTACTCACTTGGATATCAACAATTTCCGAATGAATTTTTTGAATTGACATTCTTGTGGGAATGGATATTGATTTCCGACACGGTTATTTTAATAAGAATTCAATCGTACCTGCCTACTATGAGTAATAATTCCGCTTAGAAATCTTTATTTCTTTAGGTATTGCGCACGTAAATGTAATTATAGGTATACGTGAAATTTTTTAATGTAAGTATTAATTAAATTAATTTATGTGACGTTCACTGTAATAATTGAGGACAAAGTACCTCATTAAGGTGTAGATAAGCTTGGTGAAGAAACAAGAGTTAAAACAATAAGTGATTGTGAGACTGTATGGAAAAAATAAAAAGTTCAACAATGCAGAAATTCGCCACAGACAAGAATCTCTCCACCTTGAGAGAGATGCTTGTCCATGCCCAGGATGCACCGGCCCGACAGCTGCCCTTCCCCCCGGACACATCCGCGAGGGACCAGCAGCCGCCGAGCACACGAGGAGGTTCTCTGCACGCACCCCATGTCCCTAATCCTACGTATTTTTTTGTCTT